CACTCCCAGCTACAAGTGGTTCTGTGGACCTCTCTTGCTCACCCTCCTCCCTGGTCCCCTCAGGCCCTGGGAGTTTAGCAGATCTAATGAGGACCCAGCTTTCAGTTCTGCTTGATGGCAACCTAACTTGGACTTGTCTGACCCGAAATTAAAACTGAGGCATCAGATCAGAAGTGGGTGTTCACTGCTGGCCAGAGTTTTTGCCTTCTTAGAGCATTTCCCAGTGAAATTAAAGCTGTTCTATCTACTCTTGCCCCTTCAAACGTCTGTATGGTCTGGTGACTCTCTTTAAAAATCCATACCATATTCTGCTTTTCCCAGCATAGAGAGCCAGAAAAATCTACGTGAAGAGTCCTCTAGGAACCACTGTGTGAACACACAGCTCTTTGGGGAACCTGGCCAATCTGCTCTGTTCTCAGCGTGTTGCATTCAGACACGCCACACACTGCTGTGTTCATTGATGATTATTTTAAATGCCACGTTCCTAGGGAAGGAAGGCTCTGCTCAGCCACCACTAGCTTATTCATTATTTATATACAATTAAAGGGCATGGCTCAAATGAATGCAGGCATCTGAGAAAAGTCATTATTCATGTACAGATCAAATTGAACATTTGTCATTTCTCCAGTGGCTTAACATACTCTTTGTGCCTTGGGACCTCAAATTATATTAAGCAATGTAGTTACTTTAACTCTTTTATTTAGTTTAATTGTTGGCCTTCATCCACTTATTTAGATTGCTTGGACTTGCTTAACATTAGCCCTTGCTTCCCCTTAATATGTAAAATAGAAAAGGAAGAAAATTTCTTTTTCCTATTACATTCTAAGGATGAATGCAAATTGTTCTACTATTATTCTTAATGAGCCACTATTAACATGGTAGGAAACCAATGCATTAATGCAGTACCTCTTCTCACATCGTTACTCCTAATGGAACCGTTACCAGGATAATAGCTTGACCTTTAGCCATAGATTCAGATTATCTAAAATATTTCTGCTTACTCAATACCTCTATTCACATCGCATATTGAGTGTTTTCAGGTCAATACAATCACAATATTTTGGCCTAAGGCCTCATCTGTGTGTGCAACAGAGTAAGATTTCATCTTTCGGATGCAGATTCTAGTTGAAAGTTGTTTTTGAGTGTGAATGTAGTCCATGAAATAGAATGTCAAAACAGACCCAGTGGAAATATTTGTTTGTATCGATATTTTTTGAGAAGCTTAGTGCTATGCTTCCAGTGGTCTGAGACACAGGCCAGGAGGCAGAGAGTTCTCTGGCTTCTTTTTATTGAAACTAGATAGGTTTTAACTGAAAAAAAATAACCAGAAATAATTGCCTTTTCAGTGAGTGACAGAATGCCTGAGCTCAAGATTAGATTCAAAAGATCTGCTTAGAAGCTACTCACAGAGTAGGAGAAACCTTCCAGAACCTTCCTTTTGGTTTTCATGGCTGGGGGTCATTTTTGCTGTGGGCATAACACAAATCTTGGAACCACTACTTTCTAATGGGTTCCAATTTGGGCACCTGCATTTCACAATCTAAGAAAAGAGGGGCTGCTATGGAAGTTAATTATAGAAATAATATTACAAGGAGGGAGCTGTTTATCTGCTTAGACAGTATATTGAATCCTCTCGGTGGTATCCATTTTCACATAACCTAATAGGGTGCTAAATACACATTTTTTATATTCATTAAAACAGGACTTTGAGAATCTTTTGGCAGTTCTCTGATAAGTAAACATGATTGTGGGCATTTGAATGTCATAAAACCTTGTTTCCTTAACTATAGTCTATTAACTAAAGCTTCCTATTAATTCAGATAGGCCTTCCTTCCAGAATTAGTCTACATTTGTGAGGTGTGGTATTTGCTTCTATTAGAAACAAAACTAGAAAATGTGTTTATTTATTCATCAAATGTTTATGGAATAAGAACTCAATGAGTACAAAGTACTGTTGTAGGTGCTTTGAGGGAGACAAAATAAAGGAAGGCCCTGAGGTGTCTATAACCGAGTGTGGGGGATTCAAAAGCACCCCAGACCCCCAGAGGTATTGTTCCCTCTGCATCTCTGCCAAGTGGAGGCTCCTTGCTTGCCTGGCCCACATGTCACATACTGGGCAACATCTTTGATTCCCACCCCCCATCCTTAATTCTGCTTCCTAACCATCACTTCTCTACTCAGTTGGGCTGCGAAGGGTCCTTTCCTCTAAGGCTCTAAGTACAGCTACACGTCTTCCTCTTGTTCTCTCATTGCGCTGTCATCCTGGATAACTTCTTTGTCCACAGGAAAGATCCACCTGACCCCTCGGCCACGTAGCACCCAGATCTCAGACACAGTGACCTCCACCTCAGCCACATTTCAGCCCCACCCCTGATCACACCTCAGCATTCCTGTCCGGAGCTGCTCTGTCACCACCGTCTCGTCTCCAGCAGTATCTGCTCCACTGCCCTCACTGCACAGCAGCTCCTTGCCAGCCCTGCTGATATTTGCATTCCCTGGTCTCTGGGTTTTTCCAACTCTGTGAGCCTTTTCCTGGCTTCACTTCCTCCTCAGATTTGAGCGGGAAGGGGAAGTGAGGAAAGTTGAAGTAACTCATTCAAGGTGACATCTTCATCAACATCTTCAAGTGCTTTGTTATCCCTGTCTTTCTGCCAAAACTGTCCAGAAAATGTCTAACCCAAGACCAGCCCTACCATTCAGGGTCTCCACTCCCAAGGAAGGGCTGCAGGGTGGCATAGGAGAAAACAGCCTGCTCCTACGAATCGTTGCCAACACCACACTCCTGCTGGCTCTCCTTGCAGCCTTAGTCTGCTGCTTTCTTCTCACAGGCAATTCCAGACTTTCCCACACCAAAAGTTGAGTGAGGTCTCAGGAGTGATTACTCCAACCTACAAGCACTTCTCAACCTGACCCAGTCTCACCAGCCTCTGGGGTTAGAAGAAAGAAGTTCCTCCTGTTTGAGGGCAGCCCTCCATTTCATCACCTAGCAGTTCTTCTGGGGTGGTCCCCTGGAATGTCTCCTTTTTCCTGGATCCTGTCTCCCCCACAACGTTGCTGCTTCCCCCAGCCTGTCCCCTCAGGTTTCCCATCCCTCAGCCCTCCTCCCCTCCCAGCCCTTCTTTTCCTTCCCCCAATGAACTCAGTTTTTTGAGAGTGTCATCTGTGGCCATCCCCACCACTTTTTGATGACCTTCAGTAGGTCCTTTCCGAACCTGCCTTCCTGGCCCTTCTGCACTTATACTGGGCCCCGCCTCTATCAGCACCACTCCCCGCCCTTTGCAAGGCCCCTCTCAGATCTCTGGACTCTGTAGCCTGTCCTGGGCTCCTTCATGGACTCCTCCTGTGCCTTAATCACTCAGCCACTGGGGTTCTCTCTAGCTCTGTGCTTGGCCCAGCGCTCTGTTCACTCAATATGTTCTCCCCGGTCAACATTTTTTTTCTGTCATTTTAAATGTTTGTGCCTCTGAAACTGGTATCAGCCTGGACCCTTCTCTGAAGTGCAAGCTTCTGTGCAGAAATATCTGCCAGCCATTTACATACGCGTGCCCCACAGACGCTGAGCTCCTCATCTCCCAAACCAAGCTGAATACATCTGCCTCTCCCCTTACGCCTTCCCGTTCTTCTGTAGTTACGATGCCCGTTCTAGATACAGATCTGGTCACCCCTCCATCTTCACTAGCGTGGCCCTAACTCAGACTGGATTCACTACATTTGTTGGGGGGGGGGGGGCGGTCCTTCTTCCAAATTATTTCCTTAGGATAAGTTTCTAGGAATAAAATTACTAATCGAAACATAAAACAATTTTATGCCTCCCATTATATATTACCATCTTGTTTTCCAAAAGGGTTTTGCCAGCTTAGGCCAAAAGTAATGTTTGTGCCAGGGCCCCACAACTTATCAATATTAAGTATGTTCACCTTGGAGCATTGTGCTTCTAATTTAGTAGGTATGAAGTGTGTTTTGCAATTTGGGGGTTTACATATGAATATTTTTCCTGATGGTTTTTGCTAAATACACTTTGTTCATTATCTATAGAGACTTTTGAAATGGCTCTTTTGTTTGAATGAGCGCTTTATATGGTGGTAGATACTGAACCTTTTCAAGTCACATTTAGTCCAAGTAGTGTTTCTCATTCCAATGAAATATTTATTTCCCACTCAATAGAAATTTTATAGTTTTACACAATAGTTGAATCTGTGAACATTTTCCTTTTTAAAAAATCCTCTAAAACATTAAAACTCCCAATATTTTAAATACCAAGAAGGCAGTGTGATGTGAGTACATGCTTGGTCTTGACCTTATGAAGAGCAGGTGGAAAAGCGCTCAGAAGTGGCCCTCGAGGCAGAAATGCCAGCGTCAGCGCCTGTGTGTGCAGTCACACACTGTCTGGCTTCAGTGAGACAGTGGCCTGCCCTCCCTTTTGTCGCCTTCTGTGACTCTCCTTTTATGCTAAATAGGTAACTCTTTCCCAGAAGCCAATGGAGTACTGTAAGAAGTTGACTCAACATGGAATGGGGACTCCCGTTAAGATACAACTACATCCTGTTTATTCTGAGGACTGATTGAGTTAGTGGGAATCACCAAGAGAACATCACCTTTTTGTGTAATTTTGCATTAGATTTTGAATTAATAACAAAATGAAATATTTTAATACAGTTGCTGAATTTTGTCATGGGGCCAGTGGACCCACGGGAAGCACTTTTTCTGTGCTCATAAGACATATATACATGGACACGGAGCTAGTAGAAAAGGCACTTTGCACAGGCATTGCTAAGTGTTCATAGCTGGTTTCATGTTGAAGCACAGTACATTTTATGTGGTGAGGGCCGTGCCAAGCTCCACCTTCACCAGAGGGTGTAATATGGATACTGAAGGTATCTACTGTAGAACCGTTGTCTTTTAGCAACATACTTTTTTTCTTCTTGGGATATATTCCTGTTTCAGATCTGCCTGTTTTATTTGTTAAAAGCATTTAATGATATTTCACGTTTTTTTTTCAGTCTTCACAGAAAAGTACTGTACTGCTAATCATGTGGATAAACTTCCTGGCCCGAGAGACTGGGTACAGATTCTACAGGATCAAATTAAACTGGCCAGAAGAAGGTTAAAAAGAGGCTCAGGTATGAATAAGCTACAAGAAAATAATTGCAGAAGCCCTTTATTGAATTCTCAGACATTGCAAAGTACAAGGCTTTGCTCTAGGATGCTCCATCGTCTTGGCCTTCTGAAGGAGATGTTCTGTATAATGTGCTAGGGTTTTGTATGTGAGAGTTCTATTCAAATGAATTCTGAAATTCACCTGAAGATTGGATAGGAAAAACATGTCAGGCCAAAAGGGGAGAGAGATTGCTAACTGCACCTGCGGGCTTGCACATCTTATGTCTGAAAGCAGGTCTCTCTTTTGTGATTTGCTTGCATTACCTATTGATTTCCGTTTGTTCGGATCTGCCTGACAGAAAGTACTATTTACAGTAAAAAAAAAAAAAAAATCATCATCATCCTACCTGAGACACCACGTGTAATAGAAAGAAATCCTAAGTCCAATATTTATTTATTTAAATTGACTTGTTTCTTTAATCTGGACTTGGTGATTCTAGGATTTCTTCCAGGAAAAATGAACACTAGTTGCATTGTGATCATTTAGCCATTCGAAGTCTCAACCTCCCCAAAATGACAGTGGGCCAGTTTATCAGTGAGGAATCCCTTCGAGGTCAGTTTTCTGTCATCATGTAAAATAATCATCTCAGCCCTGGTTGAGTAGCTCAATTGGTTATAGCATCATCCTGATACATCAAGGTTCCAAGTTCAAGTCCCAGTCAGGGCACATACAAGAATCAACCAATGCAGGCATAAAGAAGAGAAACAACAAATCAACCATTTTCTGTAACTGCCCCTTCCTCTTTCTATAAAAATCAGTAAATACAGAACTTAAACAGCCCTGGCCAGGTGGCTCAGTTGGTTGGAGCACCATCCAGTGCACCAGTAGGTTGTCAGTTTGACTCCTAGTCAGACTGGATTGAAGTCTGTTTCTCTCTCTCTCTCTCTCTCTCTCCCTCTCTCTCTCTCTCTCTCTCTCTCTCTCTCTCTCTCCCTCTCTCTCTCTCTCTCTCGGTCTCTCCCTCCTTCCTTCCCTTCCTTGCCCTTCATTTCTCTCTAAAAATCAATAAACATATCCATGGGGGGGTATTTAAAAAATAAAAATAAAAAGTAATAAACAGTCATCTCTTGAAGGTCAGACACCTATAGATGTTTTTTTAATCCTGATCAAACTTCGGTTGCCTGGCCTACTCGGACCCTTCTTGTGCTTCTGTAGCTGGAGGTGAGGCTCTGGGAGGAGACGACCTTAGGCGCTGAAATGTTGCAGCCTTGGATGTCACGGGGGTCCGAGAGAGCAGCAGGGCAGGAGCGTGAGGCTGTGTCACCAACGGATGGCTGCAGGGCCATCTCTGTACGCTCTCCCTGAGCGTCCTCTGATCTAACGGTGACAGAGTTGTGGAAGTCATGTACAAAGCTCTAGGTCCCCAGGTCATGTCCAACTAAAATAAAATATTTACCTTTAGATGATGTTTTATTAAAAAATTTTTCTTCATCTTTTTTAACCATTTGCTTTCTGTTATACCTAACTAATGCTCTTTTTATATTTTTAATAGTAAAAATGTATTATTACCTCAGCTAATAAATTATAATGAGGTCAGAAGAGCTGGTTTGCAAGTGTTATGTCTGCTCCTTACCAGCTCTTGACCTTGAGCAGGTCGCCCCATCTTTTTCATCCTCAGTGTCCCTCTCATGAAGTGGACATAAAAATAAAGCCGCCTCAGAGTTGTGGTGAGGCTCCAGTACACAGATGTCTTTATAGATGACACTAGTGTATCCTGAGAATGTCCGTTTGTACACAGCGGTGCCTGGCCACGGCGGAGGTCACTGAGGAAATCATAACCTCGTGGGACCCTCTGTCCTAGGCCAGGGGACCCCCATGCCTGCTGTGCCTGGACAGTGCTGCTTTACCCATTTCCTGGCATAATTAATAACATCCCTTTCACTTGCAAAGGATTGTAGGCTTGAAGAAACGGCCTGGTCATCCTCCTAGGTCTCTCAGTGTTCCCTGCCTTCTTCTTCATCACAAATCATTGCGAGCAAACACAGTATGGTATAGTGGTAAGAATGGGTGCAAATTCCTAGCTCTGAGCTGACATTTATAAATCCCTGGGACTTCTGGACAAATTATTCAATGTGTCTGAGCCTTGCAGTCTTCATTTGTATGAGGCCAACAGCTACCCCATGGGTGTTTTTGTAGTTAGAATTAGACAATGTAAGCATTGCCACTAACAAAGACTGATATATAATGATGCTCAAAAAACATCCTTGACCTTGTCCTCCTCCCCTTTGCCAACCGAAAGCAAAACAACTCCTTTATCCTTGCCATTTCCTAAAACCACTACCTTCTCTTTCTCTTAACATTGCTGGTCAAAATTCTCCCAAAAGGGTTTGCATCCCAGTGTGCCTCCCCCATCCCAGTTCACTTTGGAATCCATTGCACTTTGCCCTCTGACCTCACTCCTCTGCTGGAGCTTTTGCTGCATCCACATCCCAAAGATCAGATTTCGCTTGCTGTTTATATTAACACTCCAACTTGACCTTCATGTTGATTTTTTACTCTGTGGAATCTCATCCTTCTTAAAACTCTCTTCCCTTGGGTTCTATGACTTCATTCTCTCTGTTTCTCCTCCAGTTTTTCTGGCAATGACTTCAGTCTCCCTCACTGCCTTTCTCTCGCCACCTGTCCCCTAAACCCAGCGTTCCCAAGTTTCCATCCTCAGTGCTGTTATTATACACGCTCACTCCTGACTTGGACTGTCCCGTCGTCAGTGACTCTCAGGCATGGAGCCCCAGACATGGCCAGGCCCAAGACCCGAGACTTCCCTCTCTGTAACTCAGCCAGTGAAATCTGGTCTTTCCCACCCCGGTGAGACACTTCCGCTAGCTTCCTGTCAACCCCACAGTAAAATCCCTTCTACACACACGCCTGCTCCCCAGTATGGCAGGCAAGGTTCTTCACAGTCAGCCCCACCCCCTGACCAGCCTCATCTTCTGCAAACTCTCCCCATTCTGAAATATGCTAGGTTTTCAAACTCATGTTTTTCTCTGCCTGGAAAACAACGCCTCCTCCCATCACAGCACTGAGGTTCCTTTTCCTGGGTCCCCACTTGGCGGCCACAGCACTTTGGTCTTCTCCCAGCAGGATAGTCGCCCACCTGTGTGCTCCAATGGCCATGAGAGCCAAGGAGCAGAGATGGAATCGGAGTCACGTTTCTGTCCCAAGTACCTAGAACTGTGTGGCACAGTGTGGGACCAACGGACGAACCAACTCAGTCCATGGAAAAGGAGAGCCAACAGTCCACAACAAAAAGCTCATTGTTTAGCTCATCTAGGGCACGTGAGATCTTGGAGAATATCTTCCATCAGTTCCTTCCTTGAGGTTCAAATTCTTATCCCAAAACCCACAGGGCAGCAATGTCCCTGAGCTCTGCCCTCGGGAACAAGATCCTCAGGGCTCCTGGGGCTCCTTGCTGCTACGTGGCCATCACAGAGTGCCCTTTCTCCCTCCTCAAGCCCTTTCTCTTACCTCCTTCTCTGCACCCCCATCTCCTTAGTTCCCTCCCAATTTCCTGTCTTCTCTCTTCCGCCCCCAAAGGTCAAGAGTCTTACATCATAGCGCCCGACCTCACTCAGGGTAGGTTAACTGAGTAACACTACAAAGATTCAGTCCTGCCAGCAGAGTCTTGTATCGCTTCTCATCCTAAAGGTCTCCTGCCCCAGCTTGGAATCACCTCACAAAAGCCCCTTGTATTACTTTAGCCCCTTTATTTAGATTTCAGACTCCAGGAAAGAATTGGGGTGAAAAAATATTTTATAGATAGTAACAGGTGTTATCAAAGACAACTTCCCAGTCGTCTTACACAGTAACACATTTTTGAACACTGGTATCATGTTGGGTGCTATGTCTCATAGGTTTTATATCCCAAATTAAATTTCAAGTATGACTCCTGAGTGGTGTGCTTGCTACTACTATTCAGTTGGTCTTGCGTTGCCTAAATTCTGCCTTGGCGATCTTGACCATTTAGCTATGTGAGAGCTTCCATTTGCCTGTTGATTTGCAGGGGAAAATTGTTAACCGCCCCCCCAAAAAAGTGCTAAATACTTGAGAGAGATCTAAAGTTTGTCATGGTGGAGAGACCTAAATTTAATACTCACCCCAAAGGAAAAGCAAGGGCCAAAGTAGCTCAGAAACCAGCCACCCTTTGATTCTTCACACAGTGTCCCAACTGTGCCACCAACTTCTAGCAAATGCCTCCCCTCAGAATGCACAGAAGCGTGCTGGCCCCTTCCTTTTCCACAGGGGCTGGTAGGAGTAAAAGGAAAATGTGAGAAATACTTGAAGCTCCTTGGGAGCTCGAGGGGAGAGAACTCTAAATCCAGGATGCTGATATTACTGATGTAGGGGGAGAAATCAGTGTCAGAATGTGTGTCCCCAGCTGGAGGTGATTCCGAGTCCCTAAAGGACCTGAAGCATTGGAGATTCAGGGTGGGGAGGATGTTGTGTGCCTACTGAGTGTACGGGAGAGGCCTCTTCTCAGAGATACAGAAACAGCCTTTCTGGCAATTGGGCCATGTGACTGAAATAGGAAGTTCAGTTTAAATTCTGTTTCCCCATACTATATATGAATACTTTATACATAAACACACCCTTTTTTCTATTTCAGATGCTAAGACCAATTATAATGAGTCCTGCTCCCATTCCCTTCCCTGCTTTCCCCAACAAACACACATGCACACAGTGGGGACTTTTTTCCACATTGCTGTTTCTCTTTCCCACAGACAGACTGGCCAGTGAACACGTCTCTGAACCACCCAGCATGTGTGTCAGTAAATCACATGGCACATGCTCACTTCCGCACGGCCACACCTGTTTCCGCAGAATGGGACCCAAACCCATTCTGAGGTCGACTGCTCACACACTCTTCCCTTCCGGCGGGAGCCTCCCAAGTTGTGGGCCCTGTTCCGTAGTCATCTTCGTATTTGACTTTGACCACTGGGTTTAGATTACCACCTAGATGTTTGGGATTGGCACCGTGACACCTCTCTGCCCTTCTAGCACGGTCTGCTAGTGTCTGAAAAGTGGACGGCACCTGCAGAACCAGCCCTCACGTACAGACCAGACCAGAATGACAGTGCTCCAGCAGTGGCCTGCCAGATAGGTTTTGTCTCCTGATTCTGTCACATCCCACTGCGCTGCCTTCTCCCCAAGCAACACAAGTGGGATCCCAGCAAATTGAAACCAGAGCCACTTATATTCCCATTGTCATGCTGGTAGAACTGAGGCCTCTCCATAATACTGCGTGCTCCCCTGTCTTTTGTCCTACGTTGGTTCCAAGTGATAATCCAGAAAGTGTCTCATAGACATTTCACAACTTTAACTTTATTTATCATATTTGGCTCGGCTCCTGGAATTAGATCCAGGCTCCACCTGCGTAAGCTAATAACTCACTGCTTGAGGGAGCTCACAGTGCCTCTAGAAAAAGGAGGTGCCTCACACAGGTCTGAAAGGTTGTACATACAAATAGAAATTCATTTGGGGCTCTCATTACATGTAACAATGTTTTTTTCTATAACTGGAACGATGCTGTTCCTAGTGTGGATTTTTATCGTTTTCATTAGATTATTTCCTCCGAGCTGAAATCACAATTGTGTGTGTGTTGGAGCTAAGAGTAAAGCTGTCACTGCTATTACATTTTTATTGGACTTGCTCAGTCTTTTCCAAATTTTACAAGTTGACTGTCACCAGGAAAGAAAGATGGTGAGCCCGTTATTACAGACAGATGTTATAATTAAATTTAAGATGTTATAACTTAAATTTAAGTGTCATGTTCTGCCTCCATGACACTGTGCCCTGTTCATGCAGCCAGCATTTACCAACTCATATACCTTTTTGCTTCCATATGTTCTGTTCTTACTAAAAAGTACCTAATTGCATAGGCCTGCTTTTTACAAGTGAGGATAACTTAATTACAAAGGGAAGATCAGCTTCTACCCAGAACTGATTTTTGCTATAACTAAATGCAAAGCAGTTCTACAAGATGAATGTGATACATGTTTGCATGATTAACAGCAAAGAGGCTAAGAGCCCCAGCAGAAACCTGCGTCGACCCCTGGCAGCGCCACTTACTGGCTGTATCAACCTAGGTAAACGTCGTAACTCCCTGTCTTCGTTTCCTCGGCTGTTACAGTGGACGTAATAACAGACCTGCCTTGTGGGGTTTCCTAAGGGTGAGATGATACGGTGCAGGTGAAGTGCTCAGTAAATTGAAAGCGTCTAATAAATGGTGGTAGCGTTGCTATTACTATTATCGCTGGAGAATTTTTTAAATCCTAGACGAGTTCAGCTACCTGATCAAATCCACTCAAACCAGTTGGAAGAAAATAGTGTCTTTCAAATATAAAAGTAACATGTTTGTTGTTTTTTAAATATATGGAATATTTTTTAATTTAAATACGTATAAGTCTTCCATCCAGAGAAACACTGTTAACATTTTAGTTTGTCCTCTATTTTGTCTGTAAATCTATATGCAAAATTTTATTCTTACCATTTATCTTACTACTTGACTTGAATGGTTTTGTTGCTAAGTATTCATCTACAACATAATTTTTGGTGGTGTCTGTCCTTTTTTAGCCCAAATTGATCTTGGCCCTTCTGTCTTTTTCAGTGCTTTCTCTCTGTGGTGAACTGAGCAGGTCAGCAGAGAAAGGGTCTCTCAGTGATGTCAGTGTGTAGCAGTCTGAGGACGAGATGTGAGAGGGTGAACTAGAGTGGAAATCTGTGACCCCTGGTTATGTGTAAAGCAGCCACAATAAAAACAAGAACATAGTTTGCTTCCCACCGACTTAGCATTACCACGTGATACAAATGGCAGTCACATGGTACTCATGTGACTGGCCTCACAGGCACAGCTGCAGGACCCAAGTGGCGGCTTTGGGCAGGAAACTCCCATGGGGCCACTGGGTCCGGGTGACGGGAGCACACCGGAATCACCCTGATGGCCACAATGAAATGTTTTGGCCTGTCCTGTAGCCCATCAGTTCTCAGGAGCCATATGGGCACCTTCTTTTTTTGCAGTTGGTGGAAGGTTTTCTGGAAAACTCTAAAGGAGATTGAAACATATCAGAAATGAGCAAAGGTCTGCATTTTAAAACATAGAATTGCTTTTAAAGGAATGCTTATTCCCTCTGGTTTTCTTTATGACTGAATTGATGTCAACTTGCACTGGTGGCTCTAGGATCTGAATTTCCAGTCACCTGCAAAGATTCTCAGGTGTCCTAAGCCTGCCCCTCGGGAATGGTTCTGGGGATGACAAGCAAACTTCTGGCACAGGAATTCACTGACCTCTGTGCCTTCATGATTATATTTAAACAATTCACCCCAGGATCTGGGTGGATATTTAAGCCTATGTAAATAAGTGAAATGCACTGCAATCATCAATGATGGATAGAACAAACTGCATAAGATATAAAAAATTTTAGCACAGGAAAATTGATTTTTCATCATCTTTAGAATATTTCATTTAAATATTGGTACTAAGGTCTATAATATGAACCAACTGGAGCTGAAAAGGGAAAATAAAGGTGAAAACTCATATATACTGGGGGGGTTTAATTGTGTGGCTGTATTTGGTAAACTGGATGTGCTCCTGAAACTAATGAGATTGGTGTTTTATGTTTGTAACCAGCAGAGGCAGCTGACGGTGACGAAAGACTGGACGGCATCTCTCTGCCTCCAACAGGTAAAACACATTTACATTTTCATCTCTGGCCGGAAAGCACAGGAAAACACCTACATTGAAAATGTCGGCATTAGAGATGCAGGTGCTTGGGCCGGCTTCCCTAGCAGACCCGGGTCATCAGGGGTCCTTGGTGCCCTTTGTTCCGATGTATTTTCCACAATGAATGTGAAAAGCCACATTTTTCTCACACTGTTTCATATTCTTTAAAACCTCAGAATAGCAAGTCCTAAGGATTTAGTGTCACGAGATTTTGCCTCCCCAAACCTCTATACATTAAAAAGTATTTTAATGTGACATGACATTTGTTTTTAGAACAGGGACCACCAATTTCATGATGAAATTCATGTCCGTTCTGTCCTTTCCCACCTGCCCCAAAGGGCTTTGAGAGGCAGTCACCCCCCTTCATACAGGGGGCGCCCAGTGAACACTGTTTCAGTTGAGTGACTGAATAAGGCGAGCCATCTGGCATGGGTGGCACATTACTAATGTTATAACCAGATCCCCCCAGTGCGACATTTTAGTGAAGCATCTGCTACACTGTTAAGCCATAGAGTAGGTCTGACTTCACACTGTTTAACTCTCAAGTGATATACTTCTGACCCTTGCCTCCTGCTTCTGCTTTGGTTGTTGCCTGAGAGCCAGAGAGACAGGTTTCTGATCGCGGAGCCGTGTGGCAAACAGTTTATTCCCTCAATCGGCCTTGAGACTCTCTATTGACCACCCTCAAAACCCAGATGCCCAAAAAACCTTCTCGGCAAAAAAGCTCAACTCAGTGTTTTCTGCTCTAGATTTGGGCTGCTAAGTTTTCAGTGGAAATAAGCAAAGATGAATGGAGCAGCTAGTCTGTGTAGGCACGCTCCTGGGTCACGTGTGCCCCGATGCCCTTACCCGGAGACGGCAGGCAAGGCACAGTGCTGTGGGGCGGGGCAGACGCATGTCAGTGAGCTTCGGAGCAACGAGAAAGCTCGGCCATGTACACAATACAGGGCTTTCTGCCACTGAGGGCTGAGCAACAGATTGAGGGGCAAGTGAAAAAAAGGATCTGCTTATATTGATTGTACCCTACATAATCATATAGAAGAGATTTCTCTTCTCCTTTGGCTATGTGTCCACACAATTGAAATGTATGATCTCTACTCTGTTCCTTCCCATTCTGTCCTCCGAATATCAGGACGACTCATATTAGCTGTGTGCCTGTCACCCCTGGCCCATTCCCAGGAGACACCTGAGATACAACTAATATTGGAATTGCACACTTCAGGAGGCCCCTGGGAGGAGTACCAGGCTGCTCTGGTTGTGCTCTCCAGGGTTACTCCTCTCCAGCCTGTTGCCCCAGGGCATTTGCACTGCCTGTCCACACTGTCATCTGACTCAGTGGGCTTTTAAAAGTTATTAGTGGAAAACATTGCCCTTTGCATTTTCCTGTCTGAGGATGGAGCCAAAGAGATGTTTCAGATGAGAAAATTGAACGCAGGATGGTAGGACAACCTCGTGGAACTGAAAAGAATGTCAAGGAAGCTGAGTATGAAGGAACATTACAGATCATCTCGTCCCATACCTTCTTTTTATCCGGTCCTTTTATTTTACAGGTAAAAAAGCCTGAGGCCCAGAAACGCTACATGACTTTCTCAAGGTCTCACAGCTGGTTGGTGGCCTGCCCAGAGGCCCGGCCTCTCGCCTGCCTGTCATTACACCGAGTAGCTTTCTTACACCTAAGCCAAAGCCAGCTTTTCTCTGCATGTTTCTTAAAGATCCCAAGAGCTGATGATGTACTAATCCCTTTAGGATTCCATCTCATTGTCTCACAGTCTCCATGACTGGAATGCCCATCGTACGAACCCCTGAAGTCCACTGAACTCATGGAATTCTTTCTCGAATGTTGCCCAAGGCCGTGAGGTCGTAATGAAGACAGGAGTAGAATAGCCCTGCAGGTTTCTTCACTAGACTTCTGATAGATATTTGACACAAATGACTAAACAGCGTGCTAATACCATTTATCAGTTAGAAAAGGGGAAAAGATTTCCAGGTTGGTGCCCCAAATTTGCAATAATGAAATGAAATCTTGATTAGACTAGCCGGTCTCTTGATTGTTGCCCAATCAGGTGGCTCCTCTGGACTCTAGGCTACTACTGACCCCTCCCTCCTTGCGTGCACCCCAGGAGGACTAGAAGGGGAACCTCACCTTTCTTGTACAAGAAGCTTCATCCTGGGATTTGAGACTCACTGGCCAGACTTTCTTTGTACATTTATCTGAGCTGGCAACAGTTGGTCCTCTCTAAAGATTTAACAATGCCTTGATCAACTTCAGGTCATTTTTCCCTTCCAAATTCATGTGTATTTAGGAGGGTGGGGGAGAGGAGTGACTCCGTAGTGTTTCTATGAACCAGAATCAGACAGGTCAGGGCTACAGTCTGGCAGTCAAATGACATTTGTCTGAATCCATTACATTTAAGCAAACTTTTGCATCTAGTCTTAACAAAAACGGATGCACATTTTACAGTGGAAAAACATTTTCCTCGTTTCTTTGTCCTCAACCCTGTTGGTGAGCATTTTTGAGCAACTCCCAGGAGCTAGCACCGTGCTAGGTTCTGGTGAACAAATGCCCGCCCTGAGAGAGCCCGGACTGGTGAGAGAGGCAGAGGCCAAGACACCCTGCAGCCAGGTGTGGGCAGAGTGCCCTGGTAATGACAAAAACATCCAGGGTCTGGGAACAGCTTGTGGTGAGGGGAAAGGAAAATCATAACAGTGCTTTCTAAAACTTAAAAAGGAGGCTTCTGAATTTGAAATAGAGGAGTACGGAGCTCACCTGGGCTTAGCAATCTTTGTTGTAAATTGGCATTCTTTTACATATGCTTTAAAAATTAATAAAGAGCCCTGGCTTGTGTGTCTCAGTGGATTGAATGCCAGACTGAGCCAAAGGGTCACTGGTTCAATTCCCAGTCCTGGCACATGCCTGGGTTGTGGGCCAGGTCCCCAGTAGGGGGCGCTCAGGAGGCAACCACAAGAGAAACATTGATGTTTCTCTCTCCCTTCGCCTCTCTAAAAACAAATAAATAAAATCTCTTTAAAAAACTGATAAAAGTGTAAGGAAGAAAACATAAATTAATTTTACCACCCAGAGACAATCATTATTGGGTTTCATTTTCCCAGACTTTTCTCCATACTTGATTTATCCAATGGAGATCAAATACATAAAATTTTGTTTCCCTGAGTTGTTTTTCTTTCACCTAACAAGCATTTTCCATTTTTATTACAAATCTTCATACACATTATTTTAATAGCTGCATGATATTCTACCTTACAGGTAAATCATATTTAGCCATTTTCTATTCCTGGACCACAATAACACTCTATTAGTAACACACATTCGAGGGCTCTTTTGCAAAAATAATCATTACAGATTTCTAATGGCTAAAATTGTTCACTTAGCACAACAAAAGCCTTGGCTAAAAATTCATGATTTAAACATGACACAGACACCTCACCCACATCATACTTCACGTATCCAAGCTACCTCTAGCCACACTGTAGGAAAGTGTGCAACTCTCCTTTGGGGAACATCCCCCTTCATTTCGTGTCTATGTTGTAGGTAATATATTTGACACCAGGAAAGAAAACATGGAAGACACAGAGCCAGATTTCACTGCCTAGACTTTCATTTAGTGCCGGTGTTCATTAGCATATGCACCTCCTCCCTTAGAATTTCCTTAAAGCTCCACATCAGCATTTCAGTTTGCTGCAAAGTGTGAGTGTCCTGTGAAGTTTAGCTGTCCTGTTTGAATGGTTTCCACCTACTGTCTTTGACCATCTGTAAGAAGCCAGCCTCCAGTTTGGTATAAGATTTTTAAAAATCATTCTTACAGTTGATTCATCACCCTTGAAGTCCAGTGTCTGATCCAGTTAGTTCATTGTCCATTAAAAAAAAGCAGCTCTCTTCCTTGTTTTTTTTTTTTTTTTTCAGAACTTCAATGTGAATATATGGAGTTTTAAAGCATATTTATTTTAACATAAATTGCTTAGTTGCTATGTAAAGGAGAATGGCACTTTCCAGTCCTGAGGGAGTAATTGTTAAGGCCAAAATTAATTAGATCTTCATCAGCTTAAAAGATGAAAAAGAGGCCCTGGATGGGTAGCTCAATTGATTGGAGTATCATGATCTTCCAAGGTTGCAGGTTCAGTGCCTGGTTGGGGCACAAACAAGAATCAACCAATGAATTCATAAATAAGTGGGACAACAAATTGATGGTTTTCTCTCTCTCAAAAATCAATCAAATTTTTTTAAAGATGTTTTGGGAGACAGGATATCCATGCTCTATTTAGATGAAATCATTTGTGACATCGGTTTCCCTAAAATAACCATTTGTAACTGAGTAAGTGCAAATGACATATGAATTCTTGGGAAGGAAAAACCTTCCGTGTAGATTGTGTCAGCACGGTGACAAAATAACTCACTGAAAGGCAAGGCACTCAAAGTAAGTGGTTATCTACATGATAACCTAACAACTATTTTGACAGATGGTTTTAGCTGCGTGAGTGGTTCAGTGTTTTGGTGTTGTATGAAAACCAGACACAAATATATTTAATTAATGCTATATATTTTATCTGGTCCCTAGTACACATACATTCCACTATAGAAAACCAACAAATGAAAATCTGGATTCATTTAAAGAGATATTATGCCATGTGGATATTTTACAGAAACATTTATGTCTGAATTCCTTTCTCTAATAAGATGGTGACTTTAAAATCCTATTTAGAAACATTGCACTTACACCTCATTTATTGCATAAAGCAAATTACCTTGAATCTTTGACACTTGACCCAAAGGCCAAAATTTGTCTTGAAACAAAGGTGAACCAGAAACACCAGACCCCAGGGGGAAAAACTGTTGTGCTTCTGTTTAATGCATGTCCCTAGCACTGACCAAGTCAGAGAGTGTTAGAGCTCAGAATTGTGTCCCTTAGTCCCACCCCCTCGTTTTGCAAGTGAGGCAGCTGAGGAGTAACCACCAGGGCCAGTAACCGTCAGCGGCCTGGCCAGGCCCAGCACCTAAATGCTGTACTCCCCTGTCCAAGGTACTTGTGCCACAGAACACTGAACGGCTAAGCCTGAGGGAGGAAGGGAGCTCTGGGATGAATCAGTTTTCCACTGAAGACCAGCTCATCAACCAACAGTGACAGGAAGCTGGTGCTAGGTTTGGCCTGTGGAATCTACCCAACTGCTAGACAGCTACATCTCATATATGTGTGTCTTTTATTTGTCTTCTTTTTGAAGCTCCCAGGAGGTTTGGAATGGTTGTTTGCATCACTCCTTAGTTGGCCATTTACATTGGAGGCCAGCTAGTGATCCCTCCCCTGAAACCAGTCCCCCTGCTCAGCGAGTGTCTGGTGAGATACTATGAACCAGGGTTTTTGTTTTCCTGCAACACACGTTAAAACTTGTCTTCTGCCTCTCAGAAGAAAACATGTCTCAAGGGAATTGAAAAGATTAATTAGTGACCTTTCAACTCTGTTACAATAAGATGAATATGTTGCTAATAAAGGTAGAAAATTTCACCTTCCCACTGTGACGTCTGTTAACTATAAAGCACGAGTGTTCGAAGCACATCCCTCCAAGCCGGGCAACAGCGTGGCACTCCCACCGCTGCAGGAGGGGTGGGCGCTGTCCGACTCGCAGGGGTGTGCAATGGATCCCCACATTGGAAATACATGCCGTAAAGCTGCAAGAGTGAAGTGATACTTTGTAAATTAGAACTGTATTTGTGCTTACTTACTGTGACTACTGTTCAGACTTTATTCAGAAATCCTTTCTATAGGCTTTCTTAGCAAAAACAAATTATTCTGTATCTATGAATAATGTCTCAATCTTCTGTATGTTTTATTAATATGTAAATATTTAGATTTTTTAAAAATTACTATGTTCTTTTAAAAAAACTCAACACAAGACTAGTTGTGAAAATGGTGTATGACATTGTGTTGTGATATCAGTCCCCAAGATGCTCTCTGTGTCCGTTCTGGAAGAACGCAATAAATTACTTTAACTGAAAGTGCTTGTTTTATGCCTGTGTGCTGGTCCCCCCCCATGTTTATGAAGAAGAGTCCTTGCTAGCCGTTGATTAAAAGGTATTTATTAATACTCTAGTGATCTTACCCAAGAAGTTCTATCCCTCTATGAAGGAGATAAATTTGTTAAAATAAATAAACTAGATTGCTACCAGTAAGAGCATCTTCAAACGTAGAAAGTCCCAGGCTGTGCCTGGCACTCAGATCAATGGCCATGGCAAGTCCCCCAGAAACACTTAAGCATTAAGCACTGATGTGCTTGCAGCCTACTTTTACATGAATTAGGTAGCTTTATAATCTTCACTTAAAAGGTTAAGCCCTGCTTCTATGGAAACAACACATCAGAAGGACAAATCAATCTTCTCTAATGCGGAATGCCTGTTATAACAGAATTGCTTTATTCTCCTCTCTGAACACAGGAGGACGCCACCCCTCACTGGGTACCTGCCCCTCCTACGTCCAACAGGCTTTCCCAGCCCCCCGGCCGACAGCACCCCCAGCTGGTCAGCACTGTTGGGGCTTCTGCTCAGGGTCTAGTTCGGTGGCTCCCATTTCAGAGGGCCCTGACCTGTTTCACAGCTGCAAGGGGTGGTGGGTGTGGGGTGCTGGGGAGTTACAGCTCCCTAGGAGAGCAGTTGGATTGTGGGAGAGAAGGTGACAGGGTGACCTGCTTGCAAAAAAAGGAAATCTAAACCACAGCCAGCCTTTCTCATACCTGCACCTGTTGGAAGCTGGGAGGCTGGCACCAGTCTGCCCCTCCTGCCACAATGCACCCCCACAGTCTTCATGTAGCCCTTGGTGCCATGAAATTATTTGCAAGGGGCCCACTTCATGTTATTTGGCCCAAGGCCCCTGGGATGCCTTTGTCCCCACTGTGTCCTAAGGGGCTTTCTAATGCAGAGTGTGGGGACCCGGTTCCACCACAGGAGGCTCCACCGGAAGGGTATTCTCATAGAGTAAAAGCCCGTACACCTGCCTCATTCATCTCCCCTCCTACAGGCCCAGCTCTGCTGGTGAGGTTCCGGTCCTTACCAGGGTTTGGATGCAAGAGAAAGCAGTAAGAGCCAGCCATGGCTGGGGAAGTTGGCCCGGTCCCAACCACACCAGGCCTTGTGGACCCTCCCAAGAAGCTGGGAAGTTGTGGGGGACGGTGGAAACACCCTAAGTAAGGTGTTTGATCACACAGGCTATATTTCTCTATATGGCTGAAGTATGGACCATTAGCTGGAGAGGGGCAAGGCTAAGCCAGGAACCCCATTAAGAAGCTGTTGGAGTAGCTAGAGAGAGATCAAGAGAACCCAAGAGGACAAAACCCCAAATGCCCAAGCAAAAGAAAGAGAACAAATGGGACTTGGTGACAGGCCACCTTCGGGTGCAGAACGGGAATGTAGCTTTCGGGAAAGGGGAGGGAGTGTCAGAGCTGGCACGCAGGCCTCTGCCGGGGGAACCATGAGGGTGTTACTTGGCTCAGTGAGACTGGAAAACTGAGAGGAGCGATGTGGAGGATGACACGTGAGTTCAGGTTCAGATGCTCTTCCATTCGTTCACTCAGCAAATGTTTGCTGAACACTTGGGGTGGGCCTGGCACTGTGCTTGGGGCTGGGTACAGGGATCGTGGAGCTCATTCTGGTGATCATTCATGACATGTGACCCAGGAAACACCATCGTATAAGGCACATTGTGTCATGAACTAGAGAAGGTAACTTAAACGTGGTAGCTTTGTCCCAAACTAAAGGCAATCAAGATTTGAAGTACTATTCATTCCACATAATTCAAGTCTCAACTTAAGTCCCCATCACACAGGGATGCATGACTATCAGCTCTCAAGGAACCACCAGTCTCTACCGAGTCACAGTGTCCCTTGTCATTCTCTGAAATTGTCTTGCTTACTTACGTGGTTTTTATCATCACTTTCCCTCTGGAACCTAAGCCTCATGATGACGTCAGGGATCTTATCTGTAAGGCCATTAAGATGTCAGGCCCTGGTGAATACCCATTTTCAGGGAAAACCCACCCTGAAAGCGTGGACTGGGGCAGATGGGGAGCACTCTTCCTTCTTCCCTGTCCCGTGGCCTTTGATCACGTGCACTTCCTTTGTCCCCATATTGCCACCACTTGTCAAAAATGGTGGTGAAATTGTGTCAGCAAACACTGAAGAGATGCTGGGCGTACTCCATGTGCTCCATGAGAATTTGATAACTGATCATTTAGAGCAACACTTTGAATTGACACAAATCAATTCTGTATTTTGTGCTCTCAAAAGCATGAAATTGATCATTCCTTCTAAAATAGATATATATGTGTATGTATTCATTTGTTATTTATTTATGTCCATTTTTGTTATCAGTGAAATTAGAAGCATGTAAAGAATCAATGAAAAAGCCAAAGATTGGTCTAGAACTGGAGCCCAGCAGGAAACCCCACAGTATGCTGTGCTTTGCACATACTGATGTTCCAGACAGACTGGGTATTTGAGGGCCTTTTTAAATGGGGGTGGGGGTACTATTTTTAATCTGTTAATGCTGAGAAGTTGGAGGATGTTTTAAACCTGAATTTTGAAAATGAGTTTAGATAATTCCTTTAAAATACTTTCCAAAGATGAAGCTGATATGAGCATGGTAAATGGGGGAGCTGGTCAAAACTAACTCTCTTGCCTTCCAGTTGTGCCTACTCTCCACCACGATGCCACGACAGATTAAAAACGTGGAGGGGTTGCCCTGGCTGCTGTAGCTCAGTGGATTGAGCACAGGCCTGTGAAACAAAGGGTTGCCATTTGATTCCCAGTTAGGGCACATGCCTGGGTTACAGGCCAGGTTCCCAGTAGGGGGGCACATGAGAGGCAACCACACACTGATGTTTCTCTCCCACTCTTTCTCCTTCCCTTCCCCTCTCTCTAAAAATAAATAAATAAAATATTTTTCTAAAAAATGTGGAGGGCCCTTAATGTGGCTGAGGAGAGAAAAATCAATTTTACAAAGGAAATTGAGCATCCTAAATTGGTTCAATGAAGTGGAGGACCAATTGCATATTCTGGTAAAAAAAAAAAAACTACTTTCTGCTGTACTCTGGCAATGGAGGGAGAAAGAGAATACATCATAATAAATGTCACTCACTCTGTATATTACTGAATTAAGCATCCTCCAAAAGTGATGTACTTCTAGCCACTAGATAGGGAAAGTCAGAAGTGAGTGGATTAACAGCCCCCATGCTACCCCCACTCCCATCCTGTGATGAGCACAGTAACACTGCCCCATCCTTAGGAGGGATGTTTCACTGGTGGGAAGCAATGCCGCCTTCCTCCGCCCCTGTCACTGATGCTCCCTGTAACATGACAGCCTTGGACCCCCATTAAGACTGTGTCTGTTTCTGTGAATTGTGTCATGAACTACTGAAGTATGTTTTTCCTCCCCCTCTGAGTGGATGTCCCCTGGGAGTGATAACCACACTCGGTCTTTCCCTTTGTCCTGGCGGGACTGGCTCACCAGTCATGGCGGAGTGTGTAGATCTGAAATGTCACACTGGCTGCTGATCACACTAAGAAACAGGAGCCAAAATGCACCTTGATCATGCCTAGGCTTGCATTATAACACACAGCTTTAGAAAATGAACAAAACTCTCGAAGACTGAGAATAGACATTTTTCATTTTTTTATCCTCACCTGAGAATTTTTTCATTGTTTTAGAGAGAGAGAAACATTGATTAGTTGCCTCTAATACACACCCTAACCAGGGATCACACCCATGACCTAGGTACATGCTGTGACCGAGAATCAAACCTGCAACCTTTCAGTGTGTGCAGGACAATGCTCCAGCCAACTGAACCACACCAGCCAGGGCCCAAGAAATGACTTTCAGTTGGAAAATATTCAGCAATTTAGGAGGTGAAGAGGAGGTAGTGAAGTTGATAAAATTAGTTTGGATTTATTTGAAAGACTGAATGTAGGAGAAAAGCCAAAATATATAAAGAACTTTTATAACTCAGAAATAAACAAATAACCCAACATAAAAATGGGAAAAAGATGGGAATCTTTTTTTATACCTTTCTTCAAAGATATAAAAATGGCCAATGGGCTGACAAGCATATGAAAATATACTCAACATCATGAATCATTAGGGAAAAATCAAAACCACATTGAGGTATCACTTCAAACCCACAAAGATGGCTGTAATCAAAATGACAGACAATAAGCAATGTTGGTGACAATGGGGAGAGATTGGAGCTTGGGATATTGCTGTTGGGAATGTGCTATGGCCCAGGCTCTTTGGAAAAGATTGACAGCTCCCCCAAAGGTTAAACATAGAGTTACGAGATGATTGAACAATTACACTCCAAGAGAACTGAAAACACATCTATACACAAAGACGTGTACACAAATGTCCAGAGCAGCATTATTCACAATAGCCAAAAAGTGGAAACAACTTGAATACCCATCAACTGATGAATGGTAAACAAACGTGAGATAGTCATGCAATAGAATACTATTCAGCAATAAAAAGGAATGGCGTGCTGATACGTGCTGACATGGATGAACCAAAACATGCTAAATGAAAGAAACAACACAAAGGTCATGAATCTATTAGAAATAGGTTCTAATCTATGAACCTATTTCTATGAACTGTTTGGAATAGGTAAATCCATAGAGACAAAGGTAATTAATATAGGTGCCTAGGACCAATGGGGAGTGGCTGTAAATTGGAGCAGAGTTTCTTTTTGGAAGGAAGAAATGTCCAAAAAGTAGGCAGTGGTGATGGTTGCATGATTCCATGACTATATTATGAACATCCAGTGAACTGTACACTTTAAAAGGGTATATAGTATGTGAATTATATCTCAATAATGTGGTTATTAACAAATAACATTAGAGTTAGACCCTACTACCTTACTCTATATCTGGCAATTGATTCCAGATGTTCAAAAGATTTAAGTAAAATAAGTCATAAAAATACTAGAAATGTTTAA